CCTGAAAAGAAGGATGACCAATGAGATCCCTTCCTTCCTTCTCCCTTTTTCTTCTCCCTGGAGGGAGCAATTATATGATGGGACATTTACTTACTTTACAAGCCCCTACCACTAACACCACTTCTCCAGGGTTTTAAAAGATATTTTTTACCTTTGTTTTAAAAGGTTGCTTTGATTTTTATGTCTGAAAATGTGATCAAGCTATTGAACCACAGAAACTCTAAGGTCTATTCTAAGAACCCAAAACAGAGAGGAGAGAGGGGGAGAGTGAAGAATAGACAGACAGACACAAAGACAGACAGAGAGACAGAAAGAGAGAAAAGGAGGAGAGAAGGAGAAGGAGAAGAAGGAGGAGAAGAAGAAGAAGAAGAAGAAGAAGAAGAAGAAGAAGAAGAAGAAGAAGAAGAAGAAGAAGAAGAAGAAGAAAGAAAGAAAGAAAGAAAGAAATTTTTGAGGAGAATGTAAGACTTGAACCACAGGAGAGTATTCATTCATAAGACTTTCAGGTACAAGAAGGAGAAAGAGGAGGAGAAGGAGGAGGAGGAGGAGAAAAAGAAGTGAAGGAGAAGGAGAAAAGGGAAAGGGAGGGAGGGAGAGGGAGCTACATTACTTATCCTAGAGAAACAAAAAATTTGGTTTGAACTACACCAGGGGGCTTGGGAAATATTTTAGAACTTTTGAACAAGGAGGAAGAGCAGTACTGAACTATTATAAACTGGTAATGAATTCAGGATTCGTATATCTCAGGATTAAAATCACAAGATGGTAAGTAAGAACAGTAGACTGAGATGAAACAAAGGAAAGCATTTTCCTTCCACATTCCATTTTCTTGACTGCATCTAAATTCCAGTTTAAAAATAAAGCAAATCAAGCCCAGAAGGGAGAAGACATAAGCAGCTCAGAGAGGGAAAGCCACACCCCTATAAAGGAATGAGATGCTAAGAAAACAGCAACCAGTTGTATGAGCATGCTCACTGGGGCCCTTGGCTCTGTGAATGAAAACTCAGCCTGGCAGGTTTACCAGTGCTACTTCCTACCTACTTATATATTTTGCGTATAATTATATATGTACCTGTCTGTCTTCCCCAATAGAATGTGAGGTCTTTGAGTGCAGGGATTATTTTCCTTTTGTCTTTATGTAACACTAATACTCAACCTAGTGACATACATATATTGTAGATGATAAATGCTTTTTGAATGATTGATTGAATAATTGAATAGCTTGTGCTTCCATTCTTGCATTCCATTTTTCTCTTTACTCCATAGTCTATTTGGCTGGGCTTAGATGTATAGGCACATATTTGGATTTCCTGGGAAATCTCAATTTCAAGAAAGAAAGGGGAAAAAAAAAGACTTCTGGCAAGGCTTTGTCAAACTACACATGATCAATTTTGGGTTTGTTGAGTATGATAAGCATAGTTTTTTATACACACACCTCTATACACATATATATGTACAAATACACACATACATACATACATACCAGTGCTACCTCCTACATGTATGTATGTCTATATACCTACATATACATATGTATGTACTTCCTATTTCCTGGCAACTGAGCAGAGGGCTAACAGGTGTAGACTGAGTATACAAAAATATAACAGAGAAAATGAAGAGTAAAACCCATAAGAGAAGGCAAAGGTGGGAAGGACTAGGGCCAAGAGGGGACTGAAGAAGCTCCAATTCCAACCACACTGCAGTCTTCCCTACTGATGTGAGTTTGTGCCTTGCTACTGGATCTGTGTATGAGTCCAATTTATAACGTTGGATCTTTTGTGATAAATGTTTGTTATTAAAATATTTATTGGTTGCCGTGATTGCGGGCTGGTGAATTGAATCCTACTCTAGAAATGAAGTTCAGAGGTTCTGAAAAAGCCAAAAACCTTTTTTTTTTAAATTTTTGAGGGGAATGTAAGACTTGAACCACAGGAGAGGATTGATTCATAAGACTTTCAGATACAAACTTTGGTCTATTAGAGTCTAGAGCTATTATCAGTCATAGGTTACGTACTTCTTTATTTTTCTATTAGGTCCTCCTTGTGTTGATTGCCCACAGGAAGAACTTTGGCTTGTGCCACAGATCCTACCTGCTCCAGAGGTCATTTTGTTAACCATTCAAAATAAATCAATAGGAATTACCACCCACTCATCCTTCAGACTGATCTCTAACTGAATGGATGTTAGCCAATTAGGTCACTTTAGTTATCTTCTTTCCCTAATAACGTTCCATCCCCTACCAGCCTGCTGCTCAACACAGTCAGAATACTAGTATGTACTCAGAGACAGAGTCCTAATATGACTCATTCAAACACCAATTTTCATTCAGGATCCTGCTGATATCAAGGAAAAGGCCCCAGTTATCCTCTCACCTTAACAATCTAAGTCTCCCAGCCAACATGCTGGGTCACACAGTTAGAACACCAGTGTTCTCAGACTTACCCAAATAATGACTCATTTATACAGTCATTCATTCACCCTGGTGAGGTGATGGAGAAACAGATAATCTGTAGACCACTCAGTATGTTTAGGTGTCTGTGAGATAGAAGTTTAATCTTAGAGCTCAATCCACTTTAGAGATCATCTGGGCTAACACCTTCAATTTACAAATGAACAAAATAAGGGCCAGAGAGATTAAGCAATATAATCAAGGTCACAGTATCAGAGTCTGGACTAGGATAATAAGTCTAGGGCTTTTTCCACTATATCAGGCTGAAAAAAAATATTGAACAGATGTATGATACCATTAATATGCTCATCTTTCTCTTTTTATTAATATATAATGTTTCCTGGACATTAGTCTAGAGCTTAGCCTGTCTATTAGCATCCCAAAATGGAACAAGGTTCCTTAAGAGGTGATGAATTCCTCCTCCGTGGAGGCTTTCCAGCAGATTTACATAAGCACTTGTTGAGTATATTAGAATGGTAATGCCTTTTGGCTTTAGCCTGGATTACATAGCTACTTTATTCCCTTTCAACTTACAAATTCTATTATTTTGTGACAGATAAAGGGAAAGTTTCTTAAGGAATAGGGGAAAACTAACTAAGCAAGTTTGTAGGAGTAGGGAAAGACCTAGGGAGAAAATGCTGTTCCCCATGCCTGGACCATGACCCTGGGCAAGTCTCAGTTTCTTCATCTGTAATATTAGTTGGAGAAGGAAATGACAAACCATTCCAATATCTTTGCCAAGAACCCCAAACGGGGTCTGGAAGAGTCAGGCAAGACTGAAAATGACTAAACAACATGCCTGGAATATTTTCCCTCTTCATCTCTGTCTCCTGGCTCCTCTGGCTTCTTTCAAGTCTCAGCTAAAATCGACCTTCTGATCCACACCCAGAGAAAGAACTATGGAGTCTGAATGCAGATGGAAGCATATTATTTGCTCTCCTTTTCCTTTGTTGTTTTGATTTATTGCTTCATTCTCATGGTTCCTCCCATTAGTTCTAATTGTTCTTTACATCATGACTAAAGGAAAAATATGCTTAATATGAATGTATATGTAGAGTCTATATCGGATTGTACGATGTCTTGGGCAGGGAGGAAGAAATGGAGGAGGAGAAAATTTAAAACTCAAAATCTTATGGAAATGAATATTGAAAGATAAAAAGAAATCAATTTTAAAAAAGAATTCTCTACAAGCCATTCCCCAAATGATAAATGGTCAAAGGATGTGAACAGGTAGTTCTCAGATGAAGAAATTAAAGCCATCTATGGTCATATGAAAAAATGCTCTAAATCACTATTGATTAGAGAAATGCAAATCAAAACAACTCTGAGGTACCACATCACACCTATCAGAATGGCCAACATGACAAAACAGGAAAATGATAAATGTTGGAGAAGATGTGGGAAAATTGGAACACTAATGCATTGTTGGTGGAGTTGTGAAATGATCCAACCATTTTGGAGAGCAATTTGGAACTATGCCCAAAGGGCTATAAAAATGTGCATACCCTTTGACCCAGCAATAGCACTTCTAGGGCTACATCCCAAAGAGATCACACAAACAGGAAAAGGACCTACATGTACAAAAATATTCATA